TCATCTATGCTTCTCCTCAAGATGTACTCCAAGAAGGGACTCTAATTTGAATTGGGCTGAGTTTCCTTTCTCCCTCATCCATAAAGTGGGAGGAATTGGGTCTTGTATGCCACCTCTTCCGGTCCCAATGTCCGAAAGAGGCCTCTAGCTCATGAGTTGCTAAGCAGAGTTAGCCAGTTATGAGAAATTGTTTGGTGATTTTGTGATACGAGTAAACATAAAACCACAACATTTTGTTTCAAAAGTTACTCATTTATTGGAGTGTTCTGGCCATTATTGTTTGACGCCTACCTAATAAAGGCACCGCATCTCCTTTAATGGGGGCAGTATAGTCCAGGGACAAGCAGCAAGGAACTCCTGGATTCTAATCTGCCACTGATTCAATGAGAGGCCTTGAGGAAGTCATTTCTTAGTCTTCAAATGCAAAGTGAGGATAATAATATTCACTCACCTTAAGGAACGACTTGAAGGTTAGCGAATGCTTGTACAATAATGTACAGTGAAGTCCAAGGATGTAAAAGCTTTAAGTGTATTCATAGTCATTATTACTGCTAGCTATAGCTAGTCAGAAGACAAGTATAAATGCAGTTCTTTCCCTGATTAATTTTCCCCTTACCATCCCAGTACCCTGTCTCTTTGTCATTGCACAGCCTTGTGCAGAACACGATCACTGTGCTTTCACTTAGGAAATAGGATTTCTAAGGGAGAGAGAAATCTTGCTGTAATGTTTGCTTGTTCTATTGGGGCATACAACAGTTTTGCTTTGCTTATGTTCTAAAGGGGAAGTGTTGGCGATCATTAAGAAATATGACAGTCTGTGCCTCCAAAGAAGAAATAGATTGTGGAGAGAACTAGTGTGTGTTGGCTATTCCTAAAACCAGTCAGAAAACTGAGGCTCTAACTCCAACCTATTACTGCCACCTAGGGTCAAAATTAAAAACTACACTCAGAAAAATTTCATCTGCAAAAAGTGTGGCTGCACAGTTTGGGTGGGAGGAAGGAATAGTAATCTTAGGCCATCTCTAAACGGCACTTCCGTTGTTAAAATTTTTGTCGTTCAGGGGTGTGAAAAACACACCCCTGAATGACCAACGTTTTAATGACGAAAAGTGCCGGTATGGACAGCGCTTCAGCGGCTTCCCGGCACCGAAGCTACTGCCGCTCATTGGGGTGGTTTTATTTTGTCACCGGGAGAGCTCTCTCCTGGTGTCAAAGAGCGGCCACACAGCGCACCATGCAATGGCGCAGCTGCAGCGGCACAGCCACGCCGTTGTAAGGTGCACAGTGTAGACGTAGCCTTAATTTCAGAAAGAAAGGAGGGCTTTGACTTCTCAGCGGTCACTATTGTCTGTATGTATGATATGCCTGTCTACTGTAAGCATGGTAATATAACATTTTCAAAATATATTCTACTGGAAACATTGCTCTAGACTTTGGGGTAATGGTGGAGTTTCCAGCCTTAGGCCTTTTTGCTTGGGTTCCTTCTCCTAATTTAGACTCCTATTTCTCTCTCCCACGCTCTTTGCTAATGGAGGCAAGTCCATCCCAGTGCCCTCATGTCATGTGCATTGAAGGGAACAGCCTTAACGTTGGTTATACCTGATGAACCAAACTTTCACTGGCATCCAAGCAGGAGCGCCGCCAGCTTTTTTGCCGTCCTAGGCGGCGGAAGGTCCCGCCCCCAAAATACTGCCCCTGACAGAGGCGGCGGAAGGTCCCGCCCCCGAAATACCGACGATGACCAAGCGGCCGAAGATCTGGCCACCGCGGTCGCCGCCCCCCAAATGTTAGCGCCCTAGGCGACCGCCTAGGATGCCTAATGGGTTGCGCCGATCCTGCATCCAAGGATAGTGACGATAAGCCATGAGAAAGTACAATACTGAACTGAGATCAGGGTTCTCGTTCTGGTTGTCTGCCAGACTTGCTGTGTAATATTGTAAACACCCATAGTGCATGACAAAAAGAGAGTCTCTCAGACAGATCAGCCCTGAAACTTAAAAGTGGGGGGTGGGATAGGGGGATAATCTATTTAAATGATATCAATGCAAACCCAGAGTAAATATAGAATTTCTGCAGTCCCTGCGATAAATGGCAAACTAACAAACCCCCCACCAATAAAACAGAAACAAAAATCATTCAGAAGTTCCCAAAGCAACAGAGGATTTAATGCAGTTGGTTGAGAATGTCCATTGGTTGAAAGGGAGTCTTTCTTCAGTCTCACTAGAAATATTCCTTTTTGAAATGTGGAGCCAGTCAGATGTTTTTGCCCCATTGTAGTCTCTGAATTTTTATTAATCATAATTTTGTGCTTCTAATTTACCTTGGTTTAATTAAAAAATATTGAAGCCATTGCACCTCTTCCAACAAATTCCCCTCCCCCCCCAATTTGTTGATGTGTTGACTGTAAACTGAGGAAGCTGGGTGACTTTGGAGGCATCAGGAAACAAAACATGTAAAAATGGCCTTGAAAAGTCACCTGCCTGATAAATCTCTTTGTGAAATACAAAACTGTAAGCATTGGCCTGCTAAACCCAGGGTTGTGAGTTCAATCCTTGAGGGGGCCACTTAGGGATCTGGGGCAAAAATCAGTACTTGGTCCAGCTAGTGAAGGCAGGGGGCTGGACTCGATGACCTTTCAAGGTCCCTTCCAGTTCTATGAGATAGGATAGGTATAGGTAAGAGCAAGAACCTAACAAACTGAAATGTACTTAATAAGAGGGGTGAGAAACATTTAGTGCTTGATATTAAATACAAAAGATTTTTGTTTGCACAACCTTACAATATCCATTTAATATATAAAATCTAATAAAAGAAAATGATAAAGAAGACGGTACAGATGCATTTATTTTTCTCTTGTCTTTTCCCTCCCCTCCCCCATTCTCGTTTCTATGTTTTTCAATTTTTTCTCTTCCCCTTTTCCCATTTTGGCACCTTCCCTCCTTTTTTGCATTTTATTTTTTCAGCGTCATGAAATTTGTTTCTAATTGTTCTTGTGGGGCAGCATATCTCTTTGTGCTTCTTCAGGAGGTTCTTACACATGGAGTAGCTGCTGATTGCAGCAGAAATTTACTAACATCCTACTCACTTTCTCCCTGCATCCCCTTCCATGTGATTAACTCTATGCCTTGACTACATGGGAAAGTCATATCAGTATAATTATATTGGTATAGGTAAATTGCTACAAGTTATATTAGTATAATTCTCTGCACTGCATGAACAAGAATAAGAGTGGACTTTTCCAATTTGGTTTAAAATGCTTGCAAAACGATATACGCTAAACTGGAAAAAGCAACAGAGTCCTGTGGCACCTTTAAGACTAACAGATGTATTGGAGCATAAGCTTTTGTGGGTGAATGCCCACTTCGTCGGATGCAAGTGGGTATTCACCCACAAAAGCTTATGCTCCAATACATCTGTTAATCTTAAAGGTGCCACAGGACTCTCTGTTGCTTTTTACAGATCCAGACTAACACGGCTACCCCTCTGATACTAAACTGGAAAAAGCCACTCTTATTCTATAATAAGAATGTCCATCCAGGGAGTTAAATCACTATAGTTATACCAGTGTAAATTCATACCTTACCTTACATTGGTATAACTTCCCATGTAGATAAGCCCTTATTCAGATGTAGAAGGAACCTGACTCAGTGCTGTGTGCAAGCCCAGGAGACTATCCTTGTCTTACCCCTTCCTCCCTGACACAGTTCCCCCTCACTATTCAAACTATGTGCCAGTGCTCTTTCTTTCTTTCTTTCTTTCTTTCTTTCTTTCTTTCTTTCTTTCTTTCTTTCTTTCTTTCTGGTAGGGATTAGGAAAGCAGGTACACATTTCTCACATTGGAAAAGGCTAAAAATGAGCAATGGAAAACTGAGGCAGAACAGCTGCTGCAAAGTGAATAAACATGCCGTAAGGTACCAGGGAATGGAACTGAAGAAGAGAATATGTAAATGAATAAGCTCCCAGGCTTTCTACATAGAGGAGGATTGAGGGGCATGGTGAAAAAGCAGGAAGGTGAAATTTACAATAAACCCAAAAGGGACAAATGGCTTTTTCCTTTTACTGGCGTTTCTTATATTTGTATAATGACAGAACTTGACTTAGTTCCAAGAAAGGTATCATGACTGAGATGCTTCAGCAAAGCCAATTACTTCTTAGAAATAACATTTTTATTTTGCCACATTTCGATTGCATTTCTGTGCTTTACAGCTTCTTTTGTCCCTTTTGGATTTATCTTAAAGTTATATTCCTTTCAGCTGTGATATTTTCAAGTAAAATAAAGCCATTAAGGTAGTTATTGCTGCTCTGAAAAGAAAAATGTAATGAAATAACAATATACCTTAAGCACTTTTCTCTTATTGACATTTTCTTATTTTTTGTTCGTGCTATCATTCTGCCCTTAATGTTCTAAAGTGTCAAAAACGCATTAGTGGCATACAAAAGAAAATCCTTAGCAGGGAGATAGTTGGGGAAAGGGATTGAGGAATGGAAATTGGTGGGTGAAACCTTGCTTACCCTGAATGGTCATAACTGTACACTACAGTCTTGAGTTGGCCAAAGAGATCCTGGGTTCAGAATATTATTTCATGGGGGAAGAGTGTATGTGGAGCGAGAGAGAGACTAACCAATGAGATCATGAACGTTAGATTCTGTTGGGGACCATTTGAGTCTTGTGCAGTAGTCCATAGTATTGCAAGAAAGGTAAGGAAAGTCATGTGAAATTCAAGGAAAACAGGTGAATGTGCAAGCTTGTACTAAATGAAAAAAAGCAAATGTTAAAGATGGTTTAACTTGAATGTTGCACTTACATTTGCTTTCTGTGTTTTTAGCTTAGTTCTGAGTTCAGTTTTCATGGTAGAAGAAGTGATGGGTTACTTTTTAATAATGCTTCTTTTGATGAATGTAACCAATTGGTATACGTTGATTGTTCTGAAAAGTTCTTTTATGTTGAAATAAAAATTATGCAAGAAGTTAATATTCTTCTGTTTTCTTTCTCCTGCTAGGAAGGGTGCTTGTGGCCTTCAGACAGCTCAGTGTCACGACAAGGTGCTTCAGAGGTAATGCTTAATTTCTTGGTAACCTTCAATGATTTGCTTTACTGCTTCTAACATATATTTCCCCTCCCTCAAAAACCATTGTTTGGTTGGCTTGCCTACAAGTTGGTTAATTAAGTTTTTTTAATATAGATCAAAAGAGTAAAACAATAATTTAATAACTTTAGGCCTGAGAGGTCCTGGGGCCCCACAACTACTGTTGACTAGACAATGTAAATCATTGTCTTTAAATTGTAAGTTCACACAAGATCTCTATGAAATCAATAGGATTCTGCACCAGAGCAAGGGATTGGGGCCCTGGATAAGCGTTGAGTAGAAGGAAACGGATGACATTTTCTCATGGTGGAATGTTTTGGACCTTTTTCAATGGAATGTTTTATGTTTAAAGAACTAGAATCCCTCCTTCCCCTCCCCCCCCATCCCGTGAACATTTTTATAACTTGACAAAGAGGTGGGGGATTAATACCCTTTATTAATACACTCTTCATTTTTAAAGCCATTCACAAATTACTTCTTCTGGATTTTTACCCCACCTCCAACTCACACCACCACTGATGGGCGTGTGTCTCCACACTGCAATCATAGGGTGTGATTGCAGCTTGTGTAGACATCTCCGAGCTAGCTTTGGTCTAGCTATCTCAGGTACCAGAACAGTGAAGCTGCAGCAGTATGAGCTTCAGCACAGGCTAGCTGCGCAAGTAATTATCATGGGCCTGTGCTGAAGCAAGTGCTGCTGAAGCTTCGTTGCTCTGGTGCCCAAACTAGCTAGATTAAAGCTATCTTGGGAATGTCTCCATGAGCTGCGTGTGACTGTGTGTGCATCTGTGTGACTGTGTGTGCATCTGACTTGTTTAATCTGTGTCTGAGCTAGCTTGTTAGCTCCCTGAGGCAGGGACCATTTTCTCTTTGTTGGCCCTTGATAAATAATTAATACTCATAATGTTTTGCTGGGTGATGCTTGGAAGTGGATTCACAGCTCCCTCTTACCTTTTCAGATCATGTATGCCCCAAGGTCCAGGGACAGGTTTACCGCTCCATCATTCATGCAGCGGGACCGTTTCAGTCGCTTCCAGCCAACCTACCCTTACATGCAGCACGAGATTGACCTTCCTCCGACCATCTCCCTCTCTGATGGAGAAGAGCCACCACCATACCAAGGGCCATGCACACTGCAGCTCCGGGACCCAGAACAGCAGATGGAACTCAATCGAGAGTCTGTCAGGGCACCACCCAACAGAACCATTTTTGACAGTGACTTGATAGACATTTCAATGTACAACGGGGGCCCATGCCCACCAAGCAGCAATTCGGGCATAAGTGCAACCAACTATAGCAGTAATGGAAGGATGGAAGGACCACCCCCAACATACAGTGAGGTCATGGGTAATTACCCAGGCTCCTCTTTTTTCCATCACCAGCACAGCAATGCGCCTCCTTCATCACAAAGGGGGAGCAGACTTCAGTTTCAGCAGAACAATTCAGAGAGCACAATAGTCCCTATTAAAGGCAAAGACAGGAAACCAGGAAACCTTGTCTAAGTTACTTTCCCAGGTGCACTTGAACTGAAGACAAGAGAATCAAACAGGAATTTGGAGGAAAATCCCCACATTCCTGTGCACAATGTTGTTAAGTTACACGTGGTACAACTTAGTAAAACCAAACGTGCAAACCAGTTCTTTGTTTCTGATTCCTTTCAGGGGAATTGCATGCAAAGTGGATTGAGATAATACAAACTTCCATTCAGTTTGGCCATGAGCAGTGTTTTGGGGGAAAATATATATTATTTTTTTTAAATAAACTATTTGAATTATTTAATTCTAAAAGGAAACTTAGCACAGAAATTAGGCTTGTACGGCCTGTTTTATATTAACTGAATGGCAGAAAGAAGAAAATGAGAAGAAAGTTTTGCTAGGTAAACGGGAGAAGAATCGGCCAGTTTGCTTTTTTCTCCCAAGGCGTGGAATTTTTTTTATATGAATCAAAATTCCTGTTTTGTGTGCCAAGGTGTAAAGTTGAGAAATTAGATGAATGCAAGGAGTTAATTTGTGTTGTGAAAAATGTGTTTTAAAAAGTTGCACTATCTTAATGTTTTAAAAAATATATATCTGAGGGAACTGTTTTACGTGAAGTTCTTCTATATGTTGTCTTTTCAAAACCTGTGGAATAATGATTAGACCCCAGGAGTAATCTGGAGAGTTTGCCCCATCTGGTATTTGTCACTGAAAGAGGATTGTTGAATTTAGCCTAACACCTATTGACTTACATAAATCAGGAACTACAGGGACACTTAACATGTTATTATCTTTGCAGTAATTTGCATTAAAATAACAGTGCATCAATGAAGTGTCTTGGAGACTTTTGGATGGAAGTAAGCAAACATGAAATTCCAGCATTTCACATCACTTAGGTTGTTTTAGCTATTACACAGTTTAGGCCATTTGTTTCATTTAAAGCAAAACATACTAATTTATATTAATTATTAACAAAGCACTGTCATTTTTTTCCCTTTTCGCAATGCAGTATCGTTAATACTTAAGGTTTTAGAGATTTTGTCTTCAGTGTAGCCTGAAATATATTTAGTCACATATCCTGACGTTATGCAATAAATTGTTTAAAAATGCAAGGTGGTTCTGTCCCGTCCCCATCCCCCAGAATGCAGTTAAAATAAGTGACTCTTTCTTGTGCATTTTACTGTCCAGTTTCTATTTAAATTCTCTACTGAGATCCATCCTGTTTAAGCAAGTGGACCTCAGTAACCATACCCCCTCCTATGCAGTTTCTGCAACACATTTGATACTTTTTACAGTGCTAGTGATATTGGCAATGGTTTCTGCAGCATTTGAAAGCCATTGGAAGTGACTTGGGAGCCCCGGTTAATCTCACTGTAAGCCATTAGCCTTTTCCTCTGGGCCTGATCCTGCAAACCCTTACTCATGCACATAATCCCATTGAGCCCAATGGAACTAGGCACATGTGTAAAGATTACTCACGTGTGTGAGTGTAGGATCTGGCCCAATTTTTGTAATACTGGTCCTAAAGTAATTGGAAGATATGTGTCTGCCTGTCGAATGTTGCCTAGGTTTTTACTTTCTTTCCATGGTTAGCTTCTCTGCCGAAGTTAATGTAAGAATTGGAAGGCAATTGAAGAATGGTGGTAGTGACTTCAAGAGCACACAGAAAAAGCACAATATGCACTTAAAATGCATTTTGGAAATGGACTTTAAAAGAAAAAAAGAATCTTTAGAGTCTTAGTTTTAATATTCCTAATATATATGTGTAGTAGAGTTTTCACTGTAAGGTCTCACTTTTTCTACAGTCTTAAGCCTAGTGCTTTGTTAACAGCAGCAACCAACGAGTGCATCAAATGCACTGCAGAAAAGTACTGTACTGTACAGCACCTGTTCCGATTGCTGGAGGTTGGATTTCTGTGTGACTTCTACCTACTACAGGGCTTGATTGAAACATTGATTACTGAAGTGAATCTTTGATCTATGCAGAGTTTTAATGCCAAAACAGCGTGTGTGTATGCATGTGTGTGTTCATTTTATGGGTCTCTGTATAGATAACTTCCTTAGTGAGGTGACTTTGTACTATTCTAGTTTGATGAATATTGGAATAACTATATTCTGAACAGACAGCCCCATTTATAACTGATCAGAATCTGCTTGTTTCTTGATCTGAATTGTCCCTGGTAATGCAAAGTGAACCGTTTTTATTTATGTAGCTATATTTGAAGGGAGAAGTAGGAGACTGGATTTAGCAGTTTCCCTTACTAATGCCCCCAGCACAGATGTTTATGGGATGACTGACTAGCTGTCTGTCGATTATAGCTCTTGCCTTTTATAGTTTGTGGGAGTAATACATCTTGGAATTAGGATTTTACAGATGACCTGCAGGTTTAGGCCTGAGGCAGTATCCACAATTTAAGTCACTTCAGTGACTTTGTTGCTATTAGAGGTGAGCAGAAGTGAGTTGTTGCCTAGATCAGGATTATTCAGCCCTGAGGCATCTAGGTCAGAGAACAAATGGAAATCAATTGTCATTCAGTCAAGGAACCACTGGGCCAGAAGAAGGGTAGGTGAGCAGTCCTTGGCATTGGACCAGTTTGAATACAAGCTGTCCCACTGCTCTGCAGATCTCATTAAAGCCACATCTACTGACTTCAAAGCCACCTCTTGGGAATGTATCTTCTTTGAGGATAACTCTTTACCATCTTTCCACCCTAGTGTCCCAGTGTGTTGGTGTAACTCCTATTAACATTGATGGATGTGATGCATGCACATACAGAAGAAAACACCTATCACAATGGTCTGTTAGGTTTCCTTGAACTAGGGTTACAAACACTGCAGAGGAAGTAACACATTATCTCAGCTCTGCAAAAAGAGATTTTTAGACTTCATTCTGATTATATCTTAATGAATGTTAGTAATCTTTGAGGTGGATTCTGCCAACAATATTACAAAGGAGTGCTCTTTCTTTCTTTCTGGTCATAGAGAACAGAGAACACGCCAGCACTGTTAGAACTGAATTTCGAAAGAGAAAATAAGAAGAAATGATATCAAACAAGAAGTCACTGTCAGTCTGTTCAGGCTCAAAAATGGGCATTCTCTCCAGGGAGGTAAATTTTATGCAGCAATTCTGGAGGAGTCTCTGTAAAAAGACTCAGGACCATATTCTACGATGTCCTAGCCACCCAAATGTAATTTTTAAACTATTAAATTGATATATGTTCTTCAGATTATCACATGGGTAAAACATACATGGTACATGTTTGTGTATGTGTCCATGTATGTATGTTATATGTAAAGTACACACAAATATACCACATATGTAGAGGCTTTTATCCAGGTTTTTATCCTCTGACTGCCTCACTTGCCCTCTGCCCAATAACCTATCTTCCTCAAGATTTACTGAAACACTCCACATTTCTGAGCAACTTCAAACAGCTGTTACTTTTAAAAAATTTAATCTTTCAGAAATAGATATTCCCTCCTCTTCTCTCCACCTCAAAAGTGGAATTCCTCCCCAAAATTACCCTGTTCTAACTTAGGCCCTGGCTGGACAAGTTTCAGCTGTTGGACTGGTGTCAGTTTTTCTATTCAGAAAAAATGTCTAATCTTCAGAGTGTGTTGCCTGGTGGTCTCACAGGGATAGGAAAGGGAGCTTTATGCTATCAGGAAGAGGGAATTACAAACTTCCCAGTGGGATACATATCACTTACTTCTAGCCCTGGAATTACAGAAAAATCTCTCAAGCCTATTTTTAGAGGTTTGCCTGGCTCCTTCTGAGCACGGCGCAGTTGGACTTTTGTATGTGAGGCACCTGACTTTAAGGTATGAATGAGAGATGAAAAATAGTCCCAGTAAAAATGTTAAAAGCTCTCTCAAGTATTCTTAAGATAGCATTTCTGTAAGGTGTATGGCATATAGAGAATACATGATACAGTGATGTGATAGGAAGGTTTGGTCATCATTAGTTTGGGATGATTTCCATACGCCCCACTCATAGCTTTGTCACTCATGAGCAATGCATCTAACCCAAACTCATGCTGATAACATTTTACCACACTGTTGTTCACTCTCTGTATGTGAGAAAACACGCACACATTCTATATATGCAGTCATGATCAACAGAATAACTACCTTTATTTTTGTTTCTGCGACCATGGAATTAATTGGAACCGTGCAATTAATTGCATTTATTTTGCACCTTTGTCCTCATTTTCATTCTGCCCACTAATCTATCCCAGTTGGAGCTACTTCTGATGTTCCAAATCGCAATACTACTAGCTTCAAATGAAAAAGAGCCTGCCACTAAATTTTTTCCTATAATTGTGGCTTGGGTGAAAACAGGAATTGAAATTACACTGCTGCAAGAATAGCACAATTCACTAGGAAAAAAGCTTTAGCCCAGTAAAGAACGTTCTACTGTTCTCCTGTAGGAAGCATTCATTTCTAGCCCTGACAGAGAGTGTGTCATTGAACCTTAAAACTGACACCTTCATTTGTAAGAAATGTTTGAAGGTTTTAAAAATGTTTTATAACTAACATTTCTCTGACTCTGAGGCCTGCACACTCATGGTAACTAAGGCAACCTGGCTTTCCAGGCAAGGAATACAAAAAAATAGTACCAGTCAAAACACACACACTCTAAAATTGTTCTTAAAAAACTTGTAAGCAGGAGGAATAAACAAAACACCTGCTGGTGTGTTTGAAAGGATTAATTGGGATTTGGATATTTGGGGTTTTTCAGAAACTCTCATAGCTGCCCTGCCCTGGACTCATGCCATATGTGACCATTGTTTGTGTTTGCCCACATAAACATGTACACCTTCTCTCTATCTGTTCTAGTTATCCAGATATTAATTATTATTCTATAACCATCTTCCAGGGATGCTGCGTGGGTTTATTTTCTGTCATAAGCCAGTTTAAAATGTCCCTTTCATACTATAGGAAACTATTTTGAATCCTGCTGTTGAACATGGCTCTGTTACATGCCTGGGCAGTGACAGGTAACCACTCAAAAGGTTGAAAGTGTGAGGAGCACCCGCTCTCTTCCCTCGCCGTTTGAATAATGTATGGTACCCTGCTTCAACCAGTTGCCCAGGTTCCCAACTCTGACATGGGGCACTGGTGCATCTTCCATCCAACAGCTCTCCTCATTAGGATGCATTTGAAAGCAGTCCTCATATATTGGGAACTGCCCTGCAGGAGACCGCTTGTACTGCGGTCCTGCAGTGAAACAGATTTTTAAAACTACAGAAGCACATTGTCTCTAAGGGCTTGTCTATACTTACGTGCTGGTTCGGCGGCAGGCAATTGAACTTCTGGGTTCGCTTTATCGTGTTTTGTGTGGACGCGATAAATCGAACCCAGAAGTGCTCCCTGTCGACTCCGGTAATCCTGCTCGGCGCGAGGAGTATGCGGAGTCAACGGGGGAGCCTGCCTGCCGCGTCTGGACCGCGGTAAGTTCGAACTAAGGTACGTTGACTTCAGCTACGTTATTCACGTAGCTGAAGTTGCGTACCTTAGTTCGAATTGGGGGGTTAGTGTAGACCAGGCCTAATAAACCTAGGTGGTACTAACAAGGGACCCATGTTTGAGAGTTGGTTCAGATGAAGCTTTGCTTTAGATTATTTTTGTTTCCTTTAAGGGCTGTTATAAGAATCTTGTGAAATATGGTTGGCCTTTCCCGTTGTGTACATGCCCCGAAACTAACCCCAAATGTGTCACTTTTGTTTCCCCCCCACACCCACCCCCAAGGAGGTACTGTCATAGAATTGTTTAACATCTATAGAGGCCCTTATAGCAGCATTTCACGTGTAAAAAACCCTTGTGGGGATTTGTCTGAGTTACATCGTTTCAGCTGAACTTTCAGAGTTTCATTTTAATTTATCTTTATTGGCTGTTTCCTTTTTAAATTACAATTTACACTTCTCGTTATGGGGTCCCACTTTAAAATCCAGACCAAGACCCACCTAAGAATGTTGGCTCAGGCCTGGTCTGCACTTAGCAGTTTTGCTGGCATAGCCGTGTTGCGCTGGATGTGATCCCCACCTCCTTGACTAACATTGGTATGTCAGCAAAAGCCCTAATGTAAATGCAGTTAAACCAATGGCAC